TATGTTTTTATTTTTATTTATTTATTTTTTTGAGACGCAATCTCACTCTGTGATTCAGGCAGGAGTGTGGTGGGGCGATCTCAGCTCACTGCAACCTCTGGTTATTTTGTTTTTATTTTTAGTTATTTATTTTTTTGAGACTCAGTCTTGCTCTGTGACCCAGGCTGGAGTGCAGTGGAGTGATCTTGGCTCACTGCAACCTCTACCTCCCAGGTTCAAGTGATTCCCCTGCCCCAGCCTCCTGAGTAGCTGAGATTACAGGCACTTGCCACCAGCCAGGCTAATTTTTGTATTTTTAGTATTTTTGTACTTTTAGTTTCACAACGTTAGACAGGCTGGTCTCAAACTCCTGACTTCAAATGCTCTGCCTGCCTCAGCCTCCCAAAGTGCTGGGATTGCAGGTGTGAACTACCACACCTGCAGCATAAGGTTATTAAAAAACCCCTGCCATTTATTTGTTTTTATTTATTTATTTATTTATTTATTTATTTATTTTGAGACAGAGTTTCACTCTCGTTACCCAGGCTGGAGTGCAATGGCGCGATCTCGGCTCACCGCAACCTCCGCCTCCTGGGTTCAGGCAATTCTCCTGCCTCAGCCTCCTGAGTAGCTGGGATTACAGGCACGCGTCACCATGCCCAGCTAATTTTTTGTATTTTTAGTAGAGACGGGGTTTCACCGTGTTGACCAGGATGGTCTCGATCTCTTGACCTTGTGATCCACCCGCCTCGGCCTCCCACAGTGCTGGGATTACAGGCTTGAGCCACCGCGCCCGGCTTTTATTTATTTTTTTAAACAGAGTTTCACCATGTTGATCAGGCTGGTCTTGAACTCCCGACCTCAGGTGATCCACCCATTTTGGCCTCCAAAGTGCTTGGATTACAGGCATGAGTCACCACGCCCAGCCACCATTTATTTATTATGGTTCCTGATTTATTTACTAGTTTTGTCCTAAGTCACCGAAATACTTGCTAAAAGTATGTAAGCCCACAGACCACTCTGTCCTAAGGAGTCAGAAAAAGGTGACTGATACCTGTCTGGGAACATTCCCAGAAATGCTGGTCTGATGGCGACTGTGGAATTATCTTCCAGGATGCAGAAGTGAGGAATGGTTTGTGTATAGAGTTGGGTGGATAGGGAGGGATTAGAGCCCAGATACAAGGCCCTGAGGTCACTCTGTTGCCCCGAGCTGGTTTTGAACTCCTTGGGCTCAAGCGATCCTCCCAGCTCTGCCTCCCAAAGCACTAGCATTACAAGCGTGAGCCACTGTGCCCGGTAAGGTAATTCACTTCACAAAGGAGTGGTGTCTGATAATGAACCTTGAAATTGGAAGATGAGGCCAGAGAGGAAGCTTGAGATCTGAAGAAAGAGGAGGAGCTAAGGAAGGAAACTAGTGGCAGGACCAGAGCTTTGCAGGACTGTAGATAGCTGTCTGGAGATGGCTCAGGGAAAGAGAAATATACTTGCAGCCTGCTCCAGAAATTTATGTTTGATCAAGAAGTGTGCTGAGCGTGATGGCTCATGCCTGTAATCCCAGCACTTTGGGAGGCTGATGCAGGTGGATCACTTGCACAGGAGTTCAAGACAAGCCTGGGCAACACAATGAGACCCCGTCTCTCTCTCTCTTTCTCCATACTAAGTTTTATTGTACGCTGCTGCTGGTGTATGCAAAACAATTACCCTTGTGAAACAAATTCATGAAAATTCAGAAAGGTAGATGTTAAGGACTGACAAAAGTAGAAGTTTGTATATTATGACACGTGTTTCAGGGATAAGCTTTTGTACAGGCTTGAAATGTAACTTTCTTGAATGTTCACTGTATCATAAGAAGTGGTTTGGGAAACTTTTGAAAGATTCATTTTCGTCTAGGCCATAACACCCTGGACGTGCCTGATGTTGTCTGATCTCGGAAACTAAGCAGGGTCGGGCCTGGTTAGTAATTGGATGGGAGACCTTTTGGAAACACCGGGTGCTACAGGCTTAAAAACAAAAAAAGATTCATTTTACTATAAAAAGGAACAGACTCGCCGGGCGCGGTGGCTCACGCCTGTAATCCCAGCACTTTGGGAGGCCGAGGCGGGTGGATCACGAGGTCAAGAGATCGAGATCATCCTGGCCAACATGGTGAAACCCCGTCTCTACTAAAAATACAAAAATTAGCGGGCTTTTGGCACGCGCCTATAATCCCAGCTACTCGGGAGGCTGAGGTGGAAGAATCGCTTGATGCCAGGAGGCGGAGGTTGCAGTGAGCCGAGATTGCGCCACTGCACTCCAGCCTGGCGACAGAGCAAGATTCTGTCTCAAAAAAAGAAAAAAAAAAAAAAAAAAGGAACAGACTTTCTGGGGTCTGAAGGGATTTGTACTTGAAGATACCCGAGTCAGCGGGAGGTCATGTTGAGCATTCTGCAGACAGAATTGTTTCAAGTCTGCAGCTGCCTGGGAAACTTTTATGCGGTTGAGCCCGGCCTCCAGCCAGAGCTGTTGAACCACTTTCTTCATAGTGGCGACGCTGGAGGAGCCAGACATGGTGCACGAGGGCTGGGCCGATTCGTGGGTTGGTGAGTCGTGGGCCGTGGGTCGGCTGGGCGAGACAACTGAGCAGCGGCGCCGTGGGAGCCGGGCTCCGAACTTTTTTTTTTTTTTGAGATGTCTCACTCTGTCTCCCAGGCTGGAGTGCGGTGGCGCAATCTCTGCTCACTGCAACCTCCACTTCCGGGGTTCAAGCGATTCTCGTGCCCCAGCCTCCCCAGTAGCTACGCCCAGCTCATTGTTTGTATTTTTAGTAGACAAGAGCCTTCACCATTTTGGCAGGCTGGTCTTAAACTCCTGACCTCGTAATTCGCCTGCCTCAGCCTCCTAAAGTGCTGGGATTGTAGTAGAGATTGAGCCACCGGGCTCAGCCCTTTTTTTTTTTTTTTTTTAAGTTTCACTGTGTTGTTCAGGCCGGAGTGCAGTGGTGCGATTTCAGCTCCCTGCAACCTCCGTCCCCTGGTTCAAGTGACTCTCCCATCTCAGCCTCTAGAGTAGCTGAGACTAAAGCATGCGCCAACAACAGCCAGCTAATTTTTGTATTTTGCAGTGCCTCACACCTGTAATCCCAGCATTTGGGGAAGGTGAGGCAGGAGGATTGCTTGAATCCAGGAGTTTGAGATCAGACTGAGTGACATAGCAAGACCTCTAGAAAAAATAAGAAATTAGCCTGCAATGAGCCATGATCACGCCACTAGGTGACCAAAAGAGACCCTGTCTCAAATAAAAAAAAAGTCTTTGTATACATGTTTGAATATGTGTTCAAGTTATATGCATTTTTTTTTTTTTTTTTTTTTTTTTTTTTTAAGATGGGGTTTCACCATGATGGCCAGGCTGGTCTTGAACTCCTGACCTCAGGTGATCCACCCACTTTGGCCTCCCAAAGTGCTAGGATTACAGGCGTGAGCCAGGGCGCCCAGCCAGTTATATGCATTTTTATAGGATTAGTATTGTAGAATTACAACGGCATAGGAAAACTTCTCAATTTAAGTTTTTAGGTCGGGCGTGATGGCTCACGCCTGTAATCCCAGCACTTTGGGAGGCTGAAGCGGGCAGATCACGAGGTCAAGAGATCAAGACCATCCTGGCCAACATGGTGAAACCCCATCTCTACTAAAAATACAAAAATTAGCTGGGCGTGGTGGCGTGCGCCTGTAGTCCCAGCTACTCAGGAGGCTGAGGCAGGAGAATTGCTTGAATCTGGGAGGCGGAGGTTGCAGTGAGCTGAGATCCCGCCACTGCACTCCAGCCTGGTGAGAGATTCTGTCTCAAAAAAAAAAAAAAGTTTTTAGTTTGGTTGCTTTTGAGTTAGCGTCTGCCTCTGTCACCCAGGCTGGAATGCAGTGGCACGATCTCAGCTCACTGCAACTAACACCTCCTGGGTTCAAGCAATTCTTGTGTCTCAGCCTCACAAGTAGCTGCGATTACAGACATGTGCCACCATGCCAGGCTAATTTGTTTGTATTTTTAGTAGCAGCCGGGTTTTGCCATGTTGTCCAGGCTGGTCTTGAACTCCTGATCTCAAGGGATCCTCCTGCCTCAGCCCCCCAAAGTGCTGGGATTACAGGTGTGAGCCACCACCAAGCTCAGCCTTTGGAATTTTAGCATTGCTTTAAAAAAAAAAAAAAGAGGTTTCTGCTTCACATGTCTACAGTGTTGGAATATCTACGTTTCAATTCTTAAAGTCCTGCATCTTTCCATAACTGTTACTTCTATGCTCCTTTGGGAGCATGTTCCTGTACATTGGGAATATGTTCAGTTTTTGTCTATTTTCTTATCTTATGGTATTTTGCATTTAGACATAATGACATTTTAGTAAATACTAAAAGTATTTTTCCAAATTTTGCTTATATTCATTTTGTTATCTTGTTTGATTTCACTTCACAAATAGATAGGTCTTCTGTGGCCTATTCAACTATAGAGAAGCAAGGATGAAAGAGCAAGGTAAATTTGGTAGATGTGATTTTGAGCCATCAGAAAGCCTTTTTTGTTTTTTTTTTTAATTAGAGACAAGGTCTCACTTTGTCACCCAGGCTAGAGTGCAGTAGCATAATGACAGCTCACTGGATCCTTGACCTCCATGGGCTCAAGCAGTCCTCCTGCCTCAGAATCCCAAGTAGCTGGGACTACAGGTGTGCACCATCACACTCAGCTAATTTTTTAAATTTTGTTGTTGTTTTTCTTCTTTTTTTTTTTTTGGAGAGACAGGCTTACTTTACGTTGCCCAGGCTAGAAATACCTTATCAAGACAAAAGTTTAAAGGGAGATTGTCGTTATTTACCCGATTCTCAGAATTTGGGATGTAAAGCAAATTTCTCCAAGTTACAGAGATAGGTAACCGAAGATGTTTCTAATTTGGGTGGTCTCCATGCCTCAGGGCCTAGGCTGTTCCCACAACCCCAGTTAGGATGATGGTAAGTAGATGGGATGTGGGGATTGTGGTACCAAGTATGTGGAGTAGCTAGGGCACAATAATAAAGGCACGGAAATAAAAGACTGGGGCTAGGGGAGGATAATTTGTGTTTGGCTAGAATGTGGTGGAAGTTAGGACTACCTGAAATAAATTCAGGTTTGTTTCACCTTGTTTTGTTTTTAAGAAAGGAATATCTTCTCACCCACAGCAACTAATGATTTGAGGCATCGGATGCTTTCCTAACAGAGCTGCTTAGCTTGGCTTCATTTTCTCCGTGCAGCCAAAGACTGGAAGAGTAATTGTCTGGCTGAGCTGTGACTGCCAGCAGGCTGTGTGTGGGTCTCCTTTTGGCAGCTGGAATTAAAGGGCCTGATGATTCAAAGGACTTCAAGTGCTACCACCAATGTGAGAAATCAGTGGGACTGTAGTGAGGTCTGTCTCCAGTGACTGTCTCCAGGAAGGACGGTGAGATCTAAGAGCATATCTGCTTCTCACTGGAGAAACCCACAGAGCTCAACCACCTTGGTCAAGACCTTCATTGACAGACCAATGGCAATGGCAGCACGTGTGACCAAACTCAAAGCAGAATCCAAGTGCTCCATCTGTCTGGATTACCTCAGAGACCCCGTCACCATCGATTGTGGGCACAACTTCTGTCAGCTCTGCATCCAACAGTCCTGGGCAGATCTACAGGAATTGTTCCCTTGCCCTGTCTGTCGTCACCAATGTCAAGACAGGCACTTCAGGAGCAACACCCAGATGGGAAGGATGATTGAAATTGCCGAGATACTCGAGAGCGCGAAGAGCAAGAAAAAGAGGCAGGAAAAAAGGACCTTGTGCGAGAAGCATAACCAGCCCCTGAGTGTTTTCTGCGAGGAGGACCTGGTGCTGCTGTGTCCCCTGTGCACTCAGCCCCCTAACCACCAGGGCCACCACGTGAGGCCCATAGAGGAGGCTGCCTCTCATCACAGGGAAAGGCTCCACAGTTACATCCAGCCCCTGAAAAAGCAATTGGCAGACCTTCAAAAATTAATAAGCACTCAAAGCAAAAAACTCTTAGAACTGAGAGAGAAGGTGGAAAGCCAAAGGCAGGAACTGTCCTCTGAATTTGAGCACCTCACCCAGTTTCTAGACCGTGAGCAGCAGGCAGCTCTCTCCAGACTAGCTGAAGAAGAGAAGGACAATCAACAGAAACTCAGTGCAAACATAGCAGCATTTTCAAACTACATTGCCACACTCAAGAGCCAATTAAATAAGGTAGCAGAGCTCAGTGAGCTGTCTGAACTGGAACTGCTGTCACAAATTAAACTTTTCTACGAGTCTGAAAATGAGAGTAGCCCGTCAATCTTTTCAATTCATTTGAAGAGAGATGGCTGCAGTTTTCCTCCCCAATATTCTGCTCTGCAGAGAATTATAAAGAAATTTAGAGTAGATGTAATTCTAGACTCTGAAACAGCACACCCTAACCTGATTGTATCTGAAGATAAAAAATGTGTGAGATTTACAAAGAGAAAACAAAAGGTTCCTGGTTTCCCAAAAAGATTTACTGTCAAGCCAGTTGTTCTGGGTTTTCCATGTTTTCATTCTGGCAGGCATTTCTGGGAGATTGAAGTGGGAGATAAGTCTGAATGGGCTATTGGCATTTGCAAAGATTCTCTTTCCACAAAGGCGAGGAGACCCTCATCAGCCCAGCAGGGATGTTGGAGAATTGAGCTACAGGATGACGGCTATCATGCACCAGGGGCTTTTCCAACCCCTCTCTTGTTAGAAGTGAAAGCTAGGACCATTGGCATTTTCGTGGACTATGAGCTGGGGGAGATCTCATTCTATAACATGGCTGAGAAATCTCACATCTGTACTTTCTCTGACACTTTTGCTGGAGCTCTTCGGCCTTATTTCTATGTAGGACCAGATTCACAACCTCTCAGAATCTATACAGGAACAGCTGGTGAATAAAAACCCACCTGTGAGGTTGAGCTATTTTACTAGTTGTTTTTTTTAATGAAAGATGCAGAGGTTATTGTAGTATTGTATCTACAGACATAATCCCTCTAGTTTTTTTTCTCTCACAGTTTCCAAGAAGAAAGTTTTATGTTGCTCCAACAACTATCTATGAAACAGTGCTAGGAATGGCTGCCTTTTGGGAATGTTGTGGGGGCTACCTATCATGTTCATGGACTTGGTGCATTGCTGAGTAAAAGGGTGATTATTTCTGTTTTTCTGAAAGTGCAGATGGAGCTTCCAGGAGATGAACTAGAACAAACTTATCAACTTTGCCTTCTCAGTGTAAAGGTTGGATTGTGCTATTCCTGACACATACTAGGCAGGGAGCAGCTTGTAATCCTTAGTTAAACCACAGGGCACAATTTAAAGGGGTGGAGTGGGGACCACAGGCAGAGGGTAAGCATTTTTAGCTTTTAACATGTGAGGCTTTAACAGATTTTTTTCTGTTATCGCCACAAGCCACCTACTGGTGGCACTCACTACATTAGGTTTCTTAGAAACCTTCTGCGTCACATAATTTTTATTTCTTCCTGTATTCTTTGCTATTTCATTTCTTCCTGTATTCTGTGCATAGTATTTTGGAAGAGAGTGACTTGTTATGACACTGGAGAGAACTGGAAAATCTTGTTACTAATGGACATTACTGTTAGACACTATGTCAGAGACTAAAAGATGAATCACTGGGCAGGATGGTGTACCTATATTGACTCAAAATGTTTTCTTTCAAAGACGGCTAACATTTATGGAGCCCTAACTATGTCCCAAAAGTTGCAGTATTTTCAAAACAACTCTGAGATGTAGGCAGTAGGTTGTTAACAAAAAAAAAAAGGATTTAAAATTAAGAAAACAGTTTTGAGACAAAAAAGTATCCTAGTTAAGGTGAATCAGCGAGTGGTAAAGAAATGTCTAGGGGTGGCCGGGCGCGGTGGCTCACGCCTGTAATCCAAGCACTTTGGAGGCCAAGGCGGGCGGATCACCTGAGGTCGGGAGTTCAAGACCAGCCTGACCAACATGCTGAAACCCCATCTTTAAAAAAAAAAAAAAAGAAAAGAAAAAAAGAGAAGAAATGTCTAGGGGTGCCTTCAATCACTGACAAAACCAGCCCCATAAATGGTTTGTCAATGGAATGCTTTATACATACACAGGAAGTAATAAGGTATTTTTCCCTCTGACTATGAAAAAGGAGATGTCCACAGGTACATGTTTGAACTCTCAGAACACTACACTAACAACCAGAAGGATCTGGGTTTATATCTAGATTCCACTAATGTCTGGTAGTGGGCTTAAACTCGTGTAAAATGGACATAATACTTATTTTTCATGAAAGCTATGAAGGTGAAGTTATATGTGTGTGTATGCACCAAAGTTAACTTATTTTTTAAAATTTTTTCAGAGATGAGGTCTCACTCTGTTGCCCAGGCTAGAGTGCAGTGGCATAATCATAGCTTACCATAACCATGCACTTGAACTCCTGGGCTCAAGGGACTGTCTCACCTCAGTCTCTGAATAATGGGCTCACACCATCAGTTAGCTTTTTTTTTTTTTTTTTTTTTTTAATATAGGGTCTGACTCTGTTACCTAGGCTGGAGTGCAGCGACAGGATCATGTTCACTTCAGCCTCCTGAGTAGCTGGAACCCCAGGCATGCATGCCACCGTGCCCAGTTAACTTTTTTTTTTTTTTTTTTTGAGATGGAGTTTCGCTCTTGTTGCCCAGGCTGGAGTGCAATGACGCGATCTAAGCTCACTGCAACCTCTGCCTCCTGGGTTCAGGCGATTCTCCTGCCTCGGCCTCTTGAGTAGCTGGGATTACAGGCACCTGCTACTCAGTTAACTTTTGATTTTTTGAGGAGATGAGGTCTCACTTTGTTGCCCAGCTTGGGCTCAAACTCCTAGGCTCAAGTGATCCTCTTGCCTCCACTTCCCAAAGTGCTAGAATTAAAGGCATGAGCCACTGTGCCCAACCTGCCACAGGCAATTTTAATTTAATTTTTTTTTTTTAGTAGAGACTGGGTCTTACTATGTTGACCAAGCTCATTTTGAACTCTTGGCCTCAGGTGATCCTCCTGTCTCGACCTCCCAAAGTGCTAGAAATATAGGCATGAACCACCAGGCCCAACCCAAAAAAGACATTTCTGACTCAGGAAAATGAATATGGCAGGGCATTAGGTGATAACAGGGCTGTTAATTCTGTTAGGTGTGACAGCATTATGATTTAGGAAATGCTTTTATCCAGAGTAAAATATTTAGGGGTGAAACTATTTCTGTGATTTTTATTAAAGAGCTCTAGCCAAAAAAAAAAAAAAAACAATCAATGAAGCAAATGTGACAAAATAATAATTGTTGTGTCTAGGTGATGGACATTTCACTTTATGTACTATTCTTTGTACCTTAAATAAAAAGAACAAGTAAAAATGTTTCCTTTTATCCATATGTTCTGAGTTATGGTTTCTGTATGACTCTGCCATTTCTACCTGAGGTTTGATTGGGCACACTTACAGTTGAATGAACATATTCCTACTCTCCTGCCTAAAACTCAGTTAAATTGTGTATTTTGTCTAGTTTCAAATTTCTTAAGATTTAAGAAACTAGCTATTGAACTGTAAATATTATTAACTGTCCATTTCTTTAGAGTTGGAGCCATCTTGGTCAGGCTGGTTTCAAATTTCTGACCTCAGGTGATCTGCCACCTCGGCCTCTCCAAGTGCTGAGATTACAGGTGTGAGCCACCTCACCTGGCCCTTTTCTTTCTTTTTTTTTTTTTTGAGATGAAGCTTTGCTCTTGTCATCCAGGCTGGAGTACAATGGCATGATGCCAGCTCACTGCAACCTCTGCCTCCCGGCTTCAAGCAATTCCTCCTGCCTCAGCCTCCCTAGTAGCTGGTAATTACAGGTGCCTGCCACCACACTGAGCTAATTTTTGTATTTTTTTTTTTTTTTTTGAGACGGAGTTTCGCTCTTGTTACCCAGGCTGGAGTGCAATGGCGCGATCTCGGCTCACCGCAACCTCCGTCTCCTGGGTTCAGGCAATTCTCCTGCCTCAGCCTCCTGAGTAGCTGGGATTACAGGCACGTGCCACCATGCCCAGCTAATTTTTTGTATTTTTAGTAGAGACGGGGTTTCACCATGTTGACCAGGATGGTCTCGATCTCTTGACCTCGTGATCCACCCGCCTCGGCCTCCCAAAGTGCTGGGATTACAGGCTTGAGCCACCGCGCCCGGCCAATAATTTTTGTATTTTTAGTAGAGACAGGGTTTCACCATGTTGGCCAAGCTGGTCTCAAACTCCTGACGTTAGGTGATCTGCCCACCTCAGCTCCCGAAGTGCTGGGATTACAGGAATGAGATACCACGCCCAGCCCGGCCTCTTCTATTAATACCTAGTTTTTGTTTTTTTTTTTTAAAGATGGGGTTTCACCATGATGGCTAGGCTGGTCTTGAACTCCTGACCTCAGGTGATCCACCCACCTTGGCCTCCCAAAGTGCTAGGATTACAGGTGTGAGCCACCACGCCCAGCCAATACCTAGTTTTCTATATAAATTATTATAAACTTTTCAGGAGTACACTTCCCTTATTATTATTATTTTTTTTTTTTGAGACAAGAGTTTCACTCTTGTTGCCCAGGCTTTAGTGCAATGGTATGATCTCGGCTCACTGCAACCACTGCCTCCCAGGTTCAAGCCATTCTCCTGCCTCAGCCTTCTGAGTAGCTGGGATTATAGGTGCCCACCATGATACCCAGCTAATTTTGTATTTTATTTATTTATTTTTTTTTTGAGACGGAGTTTCACTCTTGTTACCCAGGCTAGAGTGCAATGGCGTGATCTCGGCTCACCGCAACCTCCGCCTCCTGGGTTCAGGCAATTCTCCTGCCTCAGCCTCCTGAGTAGCTGGGATTACAGGCACGCATCACCATGCCCAGCTAATTTTTTGTATTTTTAGTAGAGACGGGGTTTCACCATGTTGACCAGGATGGTCTCGATCTCTTGACCTCGTGATCCACCCGCCTCGGCCTCCCAAAGTGCTGGGATTACAGGCTTGAGCCACCGCGCCCGGCCCGGATTTCCCATCTCCTGACCTCTATTTTTAATCCGGATACACGCAATTCTTTCCAATTAAAAATTTTTTCTTGATGTAAATTACTACAAAACATTAAACATGTTGTAGATTCTGGTTTCAAATCATTTAGAAAGTCATTTCCTATGCCACAATTGTAAAACTCGTCTACAATATTTTCTTGTATCTTCATGCTTTTTAGAAGCCTCCTTTTGGATAGGCATAGTGGCTCATACTTGTAATCCCGGCACTTCGGGAGGCTGAGGCTGGAGGATCACTTGAGGACAGAAGTTCCAGACTAACCTGGACAATATAGTGAGTCCTCATCTCTACAAAAATAAATAAGTAAAAAGTTTAAAAGGTAAACAGAAGCTGGGCACGGTGGCTGACACCTGTAATCCCAGCTAATTGGGAGGATGACGTAGGCAGATTACCTGAGGTCGGGAGTTCCAAACCAGCTTGACCTACATGGTGAAACCCCATCTCTACTAAAAATACAAAATTAGCCAGGCATGGTGGTGCACGCCTGTAACCCAAGCTCCTTGGGAGGGTAAGGCAGGAGAATCGCTTGAACCTGGGAGTCAGAGGTTACAGTGAGCCAAGATCATGCCATTGCATTCCAGCCTGGGCAACAAGAGCAAAACTATCTCACAAACAAACAAACAGAAAAAGAACCTTTTAAATTACTGTAGGCCCACACAGCTGATTAAAGAAAATCTCACCATCTCTCTCAATCCCTAATTTCATTACACCACAAATTCTCTTGTTATGTAAATTAAAATATTCCCAGTTTCTTGGGATTAAGACATAAACATCTTTGGGGCTAGGACATGATTTTGTCTACTACAGTCCATCTTCTGGACCCAAACATGCACATCTGTCCCACACGCAAACTACTTTCACCTCATCTTAACATCCCCAAAGTCTCACCCTATTACTATTGTAATATTGGTTATACAACTTTATGACCATTTTTCGAAAGTCATAGAACTATATACCAACAGTGAATTTTACTGAATATAAACATTAAAATGAGTATAGTAAAAGAAGAAACAGCAAAGGAGACTGAGAAGAAGTCACTAACAAGGTGACTGAAAGAAATCAAAAGACGGTGCTGACCTGGAAGTCATATAAAGAAAATATATAAGGCCGGGCGCGGTGGCTCAAGCCTGTAATCCCAGCACTTTGGGAGGCCGAGGTGGGTGGATCACGAGGTCAAGAGATCGAGACCATCCTGGTCAACATGGTGAAACCCGTCTCTACTAAAAATACAAAAAATTAGCTGGGCATGGTGGTGCGTGCCTGTAATCCCAGCTACTTAGGAGGCTGAGGCAGGAGAACTGCCTGAACCCAGGAGGCGGAGGTTGCGGTGAGCCGAGATCGCGCCATTGCACTCCAGCCTGGGTAACATGAGTGAAACTCCATCTCAAAAAAAATAAAATAAAATAAAATAAAATATATAAAGGAGGGTGCAATATGGCCAGGCACGGTGGCTCACGCCTGTAATCCCAGCACTTTGGGAGGCGGAGGCAGGCGGGTCATCTGAAGTTAGGAGTTTGAGACCAGCCTGGCCAACATGATAAAACCCGTCTCTACTAAAAGCACAAAAATTAGCTGGGCGTGGTGGTAGGCGCCTGTAATCTCAGCTACACAGAAGGAGGAGGCAGGAGAATCACTTGAACCTAGGGGCCAGAAATTTTAGTGAGCCAAGATTGTACCACTTCACTCCAGCCTGGGCAAAACAGTGAAACTCTGTCTTAAAAAAAAAAAAAGGAAAGGAAAGAAAAAAAGCAGTCCAGACGCGGTGGCTCACGCCTGTAATCCCAGTAATCCCAGCTGCTCGGGAGGCTGAGGCAGGAGAATGGCTTGAACTTGGTAGGCAGAGGTTGCAGTGAGCCGTGAGCACGCCACTGCACAGCCTGAGAGATAGAAAGAGTCTGTCTCCAAAAAGAAAAAGAAGATATCCAGCGTGGCTCTGGTAATTCATTAGTGCAAACTTTTTCACTGGTGCTGGGGGAGGAAGAATCCAGGCTGCAGTGTTTAAAAAGAACCCAAAATAACAAACTAGGATGTATTTCTTTCTTTCTTTTTTTGCTAACTAGAATAACCAGTGTAACTAGGATGTATTTCTAACAAACATGAGGACTATCTTTAATATATAAAGGAAGATTTTATGTGTGTGTGTGTGTATATATTAAAAAGTCCCAAAACCTTTGTTTGAATCCTTGAAAGAAGAAAGAGGGCCCATGGCAGAAGCCTGGATATACAAAAATTCACTTAAGCCACTGGCAGCTCTCACATGACAAGAAGATATCCAATGCAAGCCGAGTGCAGTGGCTCACGTCGGCAATCCCAGCACTTTGGGAGGCCAAGGTGGGCGGATATATATGTGTGTATGTAAAAAAAACCATGTGTGTGTGGTGTTTTTGTTTGTTTGTTTGTTTGTTTTTTTGAGACGCAGTTTCCCTCTGTCACCCAGGCTGGACAGTAGTGGCACAATCTTGGCTCACTGCAACCTCCACCTCCAGAGTTCAAGTGATTCTTCTGCTGCAGCCTCTCAAGT